CACCTGGGTGGCTCAGTCATTAAGCGTCTGCCTTCAGCTCAGGTCGTGATCCCAGGGTCTTGGGATAGAGCCCCGCATCGGGCTCCCTGCTCCGCAGGGAGCCTGCTTCTCCCTCTCCCATTCCCCCTGCTTGTGTTCCCTCTCTCGCTGTGTCTCTCTCTGTCAAATAAATAAAATCTTTAAAAAAAAAAAAAGAAAAAGAAGATAATAGGACCTATCCTACCAAAAAAAGCATCAGGTCTGGATGGTTTTTCACAGAGTGAAACCTTCAAATACCAACTTGTTCAAAAACTCTCTTACATTTTTCCAGAGCAATGAAGAAAAACTTCTGAAATCTTTGCACTTATATATGTAACATCAATACCTAAACCTTATAACGATAATGCAAAATAAATTATACACTAATTTTTGCTTATCAATATTTATATAAAAATACTAAATAGATTATTAGGAAACAGAATCCAATGCCACATTAATAGAATGATGCAACAAAGGGATATTCATTCCAGGAATGTAAAGTTGGTTCACTGTTAGGGAATCCATTAATATAATCTACCATACAAATAGATTTCAGAAGAAAAACATATAATCATCTCCACAGATGCTAAAGAAGCTTTCTATCACAATCCAATTCTTTCCTAATGAAAAACACTCAAGAAAATAGAAATCAAGGAATATTCCCTGTCATGTATCCCCCAAAATTAATTTGTTGAAACCCCTTCCACTCCATGTGAACATATTTAGGGATAGGGCCTTAATGTAGGTAATTAAGGTTAAATTAAGTCATCAGGATAAACTCCTAATCCAAGAGGATTAGTGTCCTTGTAAGAATAGACCAGAGAACTCACCCCTTCTCTCTCTCTGCTCTGTGGACACAGAAATAAAGTAGCTGTCTATAAAGCCAGAAAGAGAATTCTCAGCAGCAACTGAATCTGACACCCTGATTTCAGACTTCCAGACTCTAAGCTGTGAGAAAATAAGTTTCTGTTGTTTAAGCTATCCAGTATATGGTATTGCAGCCTGAGCTAACACCTCCATTAAGATCAGGAACAAGAGGGGCGCCTGGGTAGCTCAGATGGTTAAGCGTCTGCCTTCGGCTCAGGTCATGATCTCAGGGTCCTGGGATCGAGCCCCGCATCGGGCTCCCTGTTCCAGCAGGGAGTCTGCTTCTCCCTCTCTCTCTGCTGTTCCCCCTGCTTGTGCTCTCTCTCTCTCTGTCAAAAATAAATAAAATCTTTAAAAAAAAGATCAGGAACAAGAAAAAGATGCCCACCATCTACACTATGGATTAACATAGCAATGACTGGTAATATTAGCCAATGCAATTAGATAAATCAATCACAGGCACAAGAACTGGAAAAGAAGTAAAACTATCTCTATTTGCAGATGTGACTGTGTACCTAGAAATCCCTAGAAAGTGAATGATAAAACGGAATAAAAAAAACCCAGTAGAATAGGATATAAAATCATCATATAGAAATCAATAGTCTTCATAAAAGTAGTAACCAGTAAGAGGATACAATGGCAAAACAAACAAAACCAAAACATTTCCACTTACAATAGCAACAGGGAAGATATTTAGGAACAACTTCAACAAAAAAAATGTGTAAAATTTACATGAGAAAGTTCAAAACACCCTTGAAAACAACAAAATTAGATTTGAATAGAAAAAAAGCAGCTCTTGTTCTTGAATAGGATGACTCAACATAACAAATTATGAACAATCACAAAAAATACCAACAAACATTTTTATGAAGTTGGACACGCTGATAACTAAACTTCATATGGATCAATAAACAGGCAAGAATAGCCAAGAAAACACTAAAAATAAACATCCTTAAAGAGAGACTAGGCATTAAAACATTTTATATAGCCTCTATCATTAAAACTGACGTTTTGGTTATGTGAATATTGACCAGTGGAACACAACAGAAAACCCAGAAATAAACCCAAGTATGTAGAGAACTTGATATATGATAAAGTCAGTATCTCAAATCACTGAGGCAAAGGCAGACCTTTAAATGCATAGTGTTAGGACAAGTGACTAGTCATCTGGAAAAGATACAATTAGATCTACACTTTGTATCATACAAAAGAATATCCCCAAATGGACCAGGAATCTAAATATAAAATAAATGAAACCACATACATGTACTAGAAGAAAACATGGGTAAATTTATATTTAACTGGGATGTAAGGAGAGGCTTTCCAATTAGGATTCAGAATCCGGATGCAAACGAGTGATACATTTGCTACATTGAAAAAAACCTGCATGGCAACAAAACCAGATAAACAAGTTCCATAGGGGCGCGCCTGGGTGGTTGAGTGTCTGCCTTTGGCTCAGGTCATGATCCGGAGTTCTGGGGTTTGGGATCGAGCCCTGCTCAGTGGGGAGTCTGCCCCTCCCTCTGCCCCTCACCCTGCTCATGCTCCCTCCCTCTCTCTCGCTCTCTCTCAAATAAATAAAATCTTTAAAAAAAAAGTTCCATAAACAAAGGAGAAACTGTCTGCAGTATGTATCACATAGAGGCTACTATCACTAAAAGATAGTAACAGTATTCCTAGGACCAGAGAAAAACAAAGACCAAAAAAAGTGACAGAAAAATGAGCAAATGACACAAAAAGTTGTTTAAAAAAAATGAACCTTTGACACACAAAAAAATATGTTCAACATCACTCATACTAAGAGAAATGCAAATTACAAGTATACTGCGATACCATTTCTCACCTATCAGTTGGCAAAACTTAAAAAGCACGATGATGCACACCCTGGCAACACTGTGGGGAAACAGGCATTTTTATGCACTGCTGAATGGAAATGCAAGTTGGCATAACCCTTGTAGAGGGGAATCTGGTAATATCTAACAAAGCTATATATACATTTATCTTTTGAACCAATAGTTGCATTTCAGGAATTTGTTCTGAAGAAACACCTCCAAGAATACAAAAATACATCTGCATAAAGTTATTTGTTGCAGCACCGTTTGTAACTGCATGATACTGGAAGTATCTGTACACAAAAGAGTGGTTAAATAAACTGCAGTACCTCCATACTGTGGAGTTCTCTGCAGCTGTAAAAAGAATTAAGGGCTATGTCTATGCACTGTTGTTGGAATGACTTCCTTCTTAGGTAAGGGAAAAGCAAAGTACAAAAGAATATCAACAGTGTATTCTTAGATTTGAACTTCAGAATGTCTCTAACAAATCAGATCTTTAAAAAAAATAATTATAGGGGCACCTGGGTGGCTCAGTCAGTTAAGCGTCTGCCTTCGCCTCAGGTCATGATCTCAGGGTCCTGGGATCGAGCCCTGCATCGGGGCTCCCTGCTTAGCAGGGAGCCTGCTTCTCCCTCTCCCTCTGCCTGCCTCTCTGCCTACTTGTGATCTCTGACAAATAAATAAATAAAATTTTTAAAGAAAAATAATTATAACATTAACACACCAAAAACAATCACTCCTGCTAGCACTGAACGCCCGATTCCTCTTAAAATTTCTCTGGATTATCTTAACATGTCTTCCTGCAGCTTGAATCAAGATCAAAACAAGGCCCACACATTATTTTTGGAAGATGTAACTCCTGAAAGTATGACAATTCCCTCTACTTCTCTCCTTTTTTTAAAAATGCTATTGACAGATGGTCTTTATGGTTGATAAAACGTGTTTCTCTAGCTCCTTTCTTTCCTGTAAACTGCTAAAGGCTTGATGGGACTGTGGCTCACCTTTTTTCACTGCTGTTACAAGACTGCTTAGGTGGTACTGTTTACTCCCTACTGCACCACCCGTTTAATACAGTTGCCCTCTATTAGTGTTATAGTGGTTTCTAGATCCTCAGGCAATCTGAGTTCCTAAAAGCTTATCCGAGACCATATATTCATGGCAATATACACACGGTGATCAAGCTACTTGACTTTTAAGTTTTTTTTAGGTTAATTAAGAGTTGACTGAGAGACAACAGAGGTTATCAATCGGCAGTAAGAGAAGCTGGCCAGGAATTGTTTCTCTCATAGGTAAGAGGCCAAAACGTACAGACAAGATGAAGGATTTGACTTGATATGGAGAGGAGGCCGCCAGAGGATGAACATCATGCTTACAGAAAAGATACTGGGTTCCAATTATAGTTCTAAAAGATATTTTATACACTAGTACCAATAAATGTTTCCAAATTAATTCATGGAGAATTCAAGATTTACTGTATGATGTTAGTTCACCCAAACAGTCTTAGACATTTTCCACCTTTAAGCCTAAGGGACTGATCTCTAAGCCAAAGATTCTCAACATGACTACAAAGCAGATTCTCCTGGGAAGCCTTTAAATTCCAGAGGCGTGGGTCCCACCCAATCAATTCTGATTCAACTGGTCTAGGATGGGGATACAGTATTATTTAGTATATAGTATTATTAAAAATCTTTCCAGGTGACTCTAATATGCAGCCATAACTGAGAACCGCTAATCTTAGCTAAGAATAACAACAATAGCAGCTAGTATTAGTAAGCATATATCATGTGTTATGGACTGTTCTAAGCACTTTACATGTTACTAGTTCATTCCCTATCTTACAAGTGAAAAAACAGGTCGGGTGACTTGCCCAAAATCACACATAAGCTAAGAGCGGAGTGAGGATTTGATACCAGGCACTTTGTATCCAAAACCTATGCTTTTAATCACCATGATATACTGCCTCCTAAGCATGAATTATATTCTTTAATTGCAAATAAAATGATTAGAAAAAAAAACAAAAAAATGAGATACTTAACATCCTCCTTCTTAGAAGCAGTAGAGTGGCATCTTGTTGCAAAAGTACCAACAAGCTTCTTTGGACAGATAAGAATCTTCTCTTCCCAAAAGATTCAAATTTGAGATTTCCACATATAATCCACAAAATAATTTCCTACCTATCATCCTATATAGTCTAGTTATTTAATGTAAGTATCAAAAATTGTTTTAGTTTTAAAACTCAGGGCAATGATGTATTACATGTACATTTACAAGAAAATTTCCTACCTATTTCAGTTCTGCTAACTCCAATGCCATTATAAATTCTCAAGTAATTAAAGTGGCAAGAGTCAGAATCTTCAATGTCAAAGTCACCAAATTTGATGCGCACTCTCTCCCCCATCTTTACACGGATCTCCCATTCGCAAACGGTGCTGTTGGGATAGGTCTGTGGGTAGTTTATGGACGTGAGGGTTCCACTTTCAGGGCCTAGTACAGTATGTCCGCATCCATCACCTTAAAAAAAAAAAGTTAAAAGAACGATAAATTATTATTACATCTTTAACATTATAAATAATCAGGATTTTTTTGGTGAAAATTTTAAAATATGTATGACAGATGTTTTATACCACCAACACTTTCCTTACACAAGATAGAAAGGAAGGCAGAGTTTAATATATCTGCTCATAGGAACCAAAAGAAACCAGGTACGGTCAAAATAATCAATGATTGCCCTTATGAGTTCAAAGAGCTTTCCACCTCAATAAACAGAGGTAAACATAGCTTAGCAATAAATTTATATACATAGCATAATAAATCCAATCTTTAAAAGAGTGTCAGTTCATAGTAATTGTTCAAAGTAAATGTAAACTATAAAAATAAAAGTATGTGATCAGCTTCATCCATTTACCACAAACCCTTCTAAAATCTGTGAAAAGTAGGAGGGTATCTAAAAACACTTCACACGTTGCACAGATTACTGACCATATCACAGTATTTCAAGGCATTCATTCTTGAAGGCTTTAAAGCCATATTTAATGAAATTTAATTTTACTAATTTTACATTCTATTGAAATTTGACTTTTTAGTAGTCCTTCTCCAAAAACCTCATTTTTTCCCTATAGAATGACGAGGAAAAAAAGTAACAGTTTAATGACTTAGTAAAGATTAGGAAAAATAACTGTCATATCTTGGTAGCAGCATTATCTGTTCCAGAATTCCTTCACTGTGGGAACTCAGGGCACTCAACATAGTATTGTTTGCATCCTCCTTTTATCATAAAATCTGGTGTTTGAGCACCTAGAAGGGGATGCAGTGTTGAGAAGTTTCAGCTGCTGCTCCAACCGTACCATGTAACATTCCTTAAGGGTGGGATTCAAATGAATCTCTTTCTAAAAAGAAGACGACACTGTACTAAAATGATAGTATTTTCTTCCTTCAAGACAGCCATTTATAATCACCTCTGGAATAGTTCAGTGCTTACACAAAAAAACTATCAAAAGTGACAGTGCTGAGTTTTAAAGTCAATATGGATACAGATAGCTGTAAAAGGATTTTCTATTATATTATTATTTTTAAGAACAGTTCAGTGTTGATACCATTTACTAGAACAGATGAATGAAAGCTTTAAAAGCCTGTGAATAAGAAGTTAATAATCTAGAAAGTATTTGCAAAATAGTTACTAATTGGATGTATAAGGAACTGTACATGAACCAACGAAAAAGTAATTTCAAACCAGTCTCAAAACTCACTTTAATAAAGGAAAAACTACTTACCTACCTTATGATAATACTTCATATCCTTTTCTGATCAAGAAATTTTATTCTCAAATCCCTACTAATATTGTTGGCCCACTTTTAAAGGTCAATACTAGCAATCTAGCTTCCTAAACAAACATCGATAAAGTTCAGCTTTTGAGCAACATTGCTATCTCTACACCTGCTTTCATTCTACACATAGAAAGTAGGCATAGTCACTCAATAATATATAAAGGCACCATGAAATAAACATGTGAGTTTTTGTGATACACCCACTGATCTTCTGCAAATATAAAACTTAAGTGTTATACAACTCAGAAGAAAAAAAAAAAAACACTCAAATTTTCCCTGAAACTATGATGAAAATACCTTGGATATCTCTACTGAATATCATCTAAATTAGAAACACAGGGATATAAAAGCCTTCACTGTGAACACAAATGAATTGTAATAAAAATAACTTTTGAATAATCATTAAAATTTTTCCTTAGAGAAAAATACTATCCCCTAAGACAAAACTTCTAACACTATGAAACTAGTCTGAAATGTTCTCTTACTATTAAAAAGATGAAAATGTGCTTTCTGGAATGTTTAAATCTTTGAAAAGTAGCCACTGAATAAATAAAATAACTCAAAATATAAATGTATTTTCTTTAGTGAATAGAAACTAAAGCAGCTTTTTAAGTGGCCGGAAGTGCTGATAGATTTCAGGAAGCCAAGAATTTCCCATTAACAGCTGAATTCATGACTTAGTAATGGCAGACTGTCCCATCTAATATAGTCCCCACGGGCCACTATTTAACTTAAGGTTGCCATTTTAAAATGAATTTTACAAAAAGAGTACAAGCAGTGTTAGGAGTAATTTTTAGACGTCTTTATGCTCATATTTGACTGTCAATAAATACACAAATGTTTCTTGCCCTTTCCTCCATAAAGCATAATTTCTACAAGTTAACAAAATAAATACTAACTGATGAAAAACAGGACTTTTGCATGCATGCTGATGAAGAAAACAATTAAAATGGAGCTGTCTTTTTTCAGTATCTTGTGTAGGGGGAGGGCATGAACAGTCCACAAGTAACGTGCCAAGAATGTTCTAAAATATGTGATGGAGCTCAGAGCTTCCTCCCCCTAGCAAAAAAGATGGTATGCACCAGAAACCAAAGTTAAAAGAAAGTCTCAAATCTACTACTACAATGAACAAGTTTGAATGTTTCATACTTCCAAGACTATTTGATAAGTTTAACCTGACAAGATAAATAGATTAGCTGGCCTGGATAAACACCTACTGCTATGAAGAATATGTTTAGAATATTACAGTTTGAAAGAGGAGGCTGGGCTTATACATCATCACTAGGCCAGCAGTTTTCAAATGTTTTTCTCAGTTATTTCAAAGTAAGAAATACATTTTACACTGTGATCCCATACACTGCTGCACGTATAATCCCGACCCACTAAAGGGTCCCCACCAGCCCTCTGGAAAACACTGTACTAGGCATCCAAAGGTCATAATGTTGAACTCTCAAAGAAGACCTTGTCCTCACTTTTACCCTTAAATTAGAAAATGTGCTTCCAGTTTTTCAGTTCTTAAAAGCAAATCCTGGGTGCCTGGGTGGCTCAGTTGGTTAAGCGACTGCCTTCGGCTCAGGTCATGATCCTGGAGTCCCGGGATCGAGTCCCGCATCGGGCTCCCTGCTCAGCAGGGAGTCTGCTTCTCCCTCTGACCCTCCTCCCTCTCATGCTCTCTGTCTCTCATTCTCTCTCTCTCAAATAAAACAAAAACAAAAACAAAACAAAACAAAACAAAAACATTTCATTCTTTAAAAAAAAAAAAAAAAGCAAATCCTATTCTGTACCAATGCTTAAAATGACAAAGTATCTAGAAGTAAAACTAAAATCTGGAGAAAATTCTTTATCAGCTAATCACCTAATACACTTAGACAGTGGTACTCAAATGTGGGAGATGCGGAAGCTCCCATGGGAGCAATTTTACCTCCCATTTGGCAATGGCAATGTCTGGAGATAGATTTGGTTGGTTGTCACAATTGAGGGGTTGGGCTACTACTGGCATCTGGTGGATGGAAGCCAGGAATGCTGCTAAACATCCTACATTGTGCACAGGACAGCACCCCCAGAATAAAGAATGATCGATCTTAAACGTCAATAGTACTGAGGTTGAGAAGGCTGACCTACAGTAAAGGCCAGGACATCTCAGACAGAAGATCTGAGTGAGTTCTTGGCCGGGTTTCCTTTGGCCTGAAGAATAATGCTGTTCTGTCCACGTAGGGTACAGCCTAAGGAATACTTTCCTCCCACGGTCAGCAGTTATACTAAAGAGTTTGAGTCTCACTTCCCAATTTTTAAAACAAGTAAATGGAAGTTAAAGGAAAGAAAATGTCCTTTCTATTAGTCTACAGCCCTGGAGTAATTTTTTTTTCTGGGTCAACAGCTCTTAAAATTAGGGTTTGAAAAAGGGTGCTAATAAGGTCAGGAGTTAAGTCTCCAAATTTTCTGCTTATCTTTGTATGCTTTGGAAAAAATAATGACCTGTGACCAGGCACCACCACCTACCGTTATTCATTTTCACAAGGCAGAATTGACAAAGACAGCATAACTATGACAGGAAAAATAACTTTCACAATGGTTATCCTAGGACCAATCCATGCGCCCTCACCAGTAACTCCAACATCACCAAATCTTTCTCCTTCTCCAACACCATCAACACCATCATCACTGTCAGCTTCTCCTCCTCCTCCTCCTCCTCTAGATGGTCTCCACCAAAGTATAACTGACCATAAAAGACAGAAACCTGTTAATGTAATTTTTGAATTTCAGTTTTATTTCAGTGGCAAAGAAACACTGGAATTTGATCTTACTGCTCCTTTGTTTGGCTGCTGATTTATCTAGGGGATTACTCATAGAACATGTGTTCACTTCCTCTGAAGAGGCTAAGGTCAGATATGTTAAGCCAGATACAAATTTTGGTATTTTTCCAGGAAAATAACAATATTTTTTTAAACTACTTAACCCTAGAGAACACAGAACATTAAACATTTAATAACAATGAATTAATACAACAAAGAACATACTCTTATTTTAGGTTGCTCTAAACTTCAAATCAATTGTTGTTGTTTTTTTAAATAAATACATGCTTGTAATATTGATTACATGTGACCCTGCAGCCACCCCCATATTTTAGTCACATTGCTAATATGTAATATAAATTATCTTAATGATTGAATTATATTACTCTAAACACTGCGTGACTTCTAAAAACACTTTAACAATACCAAACACGAATGCACAAATATGCCACAAATGTAGAGCAATGTAACTTTCATTACAATCATTATAAACTCTGAACAGTTTGTATTTTTCCAGTGAGCTTTCAAGGATTTTTTTTTTATCACTGTCAACAGGTGAGTCTGACTATACTTCCTCTAAATAAGTGTCATTTCTGTCACATCTTATAATGCATCTGTGAGATCTTATAATAAATCAACTGAAAAAAAAAGTATTTTAGAGTAGAAAGGCACTCAAAGGAATAACTTGCAAGAATTGATTAATACATCCTACTTCATCTGGCTACAATGAAGATTTTTTTTTTTTAAGATTATTTATTTATTTATTTATTTGACAGAGAGAGACACAGCGAGAGAGGGAACACAAGCAGGGGGAGTGGGAGAGGGAGAAGCAGGCTTCCCGCGGAGCAGGGAGCCCAATGCAGGGCTCGATCCCAGGACCCTGGGACCATGACCTGAGCCAAAGGCAGACGCTTAACGACTGAGCCACCCAGGCGCCCCTACAATGAAGATTTTTAATGCCATGTTTAGCACTGTGAATTTTTGGACTGAAGTACCATTACCAGTCTTACAAGATTTTTAAAGTTGCATCACTACAAATCTCAAATAAATAATTCAAAGACTACTTTAATTTCACTCGTTTTTTATTTTAAATACTACATAAGATGGATATGCTCTGAAAGCCTAAAGAAGGTCACTGTGGCAATTTTTAGAAAAAGAAATAGCTCCCAGCTTCATTCTTTTTTAAGCTCAAACTATTCTCTGCATGTGTGGTAATTTACAAAATTGAATTACATGAAGGAATGTGAGATGTATAAATCCTCTTTAACCCCCACCAAGCACACACCCTACTTAGAACATAGTGGTTAAGCAAATGAGCTCTGGAGTTAAGAGAATGAATTTAAATGCCCTATCCACCATTCACTGTGACCTTCAAAAAGTTATTTATTGCTGCTAAACCGCAGCTCTGTACAATGGGGATACTAACAATTCAAACACGTAGGGTAAAAATTAAATGAGATATTGTATGAAAACACCTAGTATTGAGGGCCTAACCTAGAATAATGCGCTCAATAAAGACGCTTTGTTTGAGGATACTAGTACAGTCCTAAAAGACCAGAAAGGCTTTTGCCCATCACATGTAGACACAGGGCATCTGGCCACAACCTAAAGTAACAGAACAATGGTCCAGTGGAAATTTACATCAGCTTTAAAGTTTCAAGAGCAGTGTCTTGTGAAAAGTATAAATCTATGAGAAAGTAATTGTCACTCATCTTCTCCCTGATGACCTCTACCTTCAGGAACTCTCTCAGGAGCACAACCTGGACTTTATTTTTTGCCATTGTTAGAAACACTCCCACCCACCTGTGAAAACTCAAAACTTTAAAGTCTCATTCTGCTGGTCAGTCTCCTGACCTTTCAGTGCTCTTATACCCACATACTTTCTGTGAACTTGACTTCTTTCTTTTCTCCCCATCAGCTAATCTTGTCCTGGCCTTATGTTTTTCCCTACCCAGCCTGGACCTCATGTCCAGTATTAACTATCTCTTCCGCATACCTTACTTCCTAGCCACTGTGCCCTTCCTGAGTATCTGCCTGCCAAACCCTCAATCCTGGATCATATGATCTCTCTTTGCCACAGAGCTGAGCACTACTGAGGGGGAAAAAAAAAAATCACAAAGTCCAGGGGGATAGGTGCCAGTCTCAGATGGGCACCCAAAGCCACTCAGTATTCTCTTACTCGATGGTTCTCAGATTTTGTCAACATTAGAATCACCTAAGGGCTAATTAAAGGTTCTCAGGTCCCCCTCTCTATCTCCATAGATTCTGATAATTATGTCAGAAAAATCATCTTATATTTGGAAATTGGTTAAAGAAAAGGTGAGCAGCACATCTTTTAAATGTCACAGAAGCCAAAAGCTGCCAAAGGATTATAGAGCAAGGTAGTTAGTTGGACTTGCTATTTATGTAACTGTTGAACAGTCCCAGTTTCGGTTACATGTTAATGTATAGATTGTTGTCTGGTAGAAATGTAGATCATTTCTGTACAGTTGAAAAGATAATCCCAAAGGTTACTGTTTATGACCCTATTGGCCCATTAACCAGATTCAGCCATCTAATCTAGCAACCATATCCTAAGATTATAAAAACCTAGTTTCTCAAATATTCTCTGGACAGGATTTAACATCTTACTGGTTCCCTCATTAATGAATGAATAAAATCTTTGACATGTGTTCATTTTACATTTGCAAGGCAGGTATAATTTTGCCTCTTTTGCAAATTATAACCAGTAAAACAGCTCTATAGTGCTGCCTAGGTTTTGCACTTTAACAAATCATAAAACGCTAACAATAACAGCAATCACAAAATACCACAAAAAACTCTTTCCACCAGTGTCCCCCAGTAACTACCATCTTCTTGCTCACTTTTCCTTTCTTTTACAGAGAAATTTCTTCTAGCCTCCATAATTGATGTCTTACTTCTTTGCCTCCTGTTCTAAGTTTTTTTTATTATGTTCAGTTAGCCACTGTATAGTATATCATTAATTTTTGATGTAGTGTTCAATGATTCATTAGTTGCGTATAATAGCCAGTGCTCACAAGTTTCAATGCACTGCAATTCAGCTTCCAAGCTGCTATGGGTTGGACTGTGTCCCTTCCAAAGAGTTATGTTTAAGTCCTAATTTCTGGTACCAATGAATATAACCCTATTTGGAAACAAGGTCTTAGCAGATGTCATCAAGTTAAAATGAGGTCATACTGAATTAAGGTGCACCCTAATCCAATGACTGATGTCCTTATAAAAAGAGGAAAATCTGAACACAGACAGACACAGGAAGGACATTATGTTAACAGAGGCAGAGGTTGGAATGATGCAAAGGAACTCTGAAGATTAAAATTGCCAGAAGCTAGGAAGAGACAAGGAAAGATCCTCCCCCAGCATCTTCAGATGGAGAGCATGTCCCTGCTGATACCCCAATTTCAGAATTCTAGCCTCCAGAACTATACGACAGTAAAGTTCTATCGTTTTAAGCCACCTAGATTTGTGGCAATTTGTTATGGCAGCCCTAGGAAATGCAGACCTACCTCACCAATGAAACTATTCACTAGGGCAGCCAGTTTCCAAGCTGCCAAAAGTCCATGGATACTTTTCCACCCTTATCATTTGTGATCTTTCCATATTATCTGGCTTTGCTGACCCTTCCTTCCCTCCCATCTTCCTTCCTTCCTTTCTTTGTATCTTCCTTCCCTCCTTCTTAAAATTCTTCTTCCCTGGCTCAGTTCTTTGAACTAATTGCAACTTCTGCATCTTCATGGACTTACCTTCTTAATACTGACTGCTGATGCTGCTGTTCAGGTCTTCCCCCATCCTGTGTATTCTACCAGGGATATCTTTCTACTCCAACTTCAGTTACCACAAAGTCTCCAACCTTTCTCCTAATCCTCAAACCTCAAACCTCATCTACTTATATATTAACCACCTCTGTTCATACTGATTCACTCACCAAAAATTTACTGACTACCCAAACAGATTTGATCCCAGCCCTCAAACATTCTAGAAAGAGAGGTGAGTTCTATTAGGAGATATCCTTGCCTAATATTTAAATCCAGGTGTGTCTGACTCCAAAGTCTCCGTACTTTCATAGTCCATCAAAGTATGAAATAGTGAAGACAAAGAAAGCGCTCCAGTTTTTCAGAGTAACACAAGCCAAAACCAAAAAGGAAAAAAATCTGACAGTTTAAATGATACTTTCACTGGAGCAGAGACCAGGCTGCAAGGAAATCAGCATTTAACAAGTATTCGAGGTGTGCCAGACACCAAGAAAAGGAACAGCACAGATGTAGTCTACTTGTAAAGTTCATCACTGAAAAAAGCAGAGATATAAGGTACTAGAAAGCAGACAGCTGAGAAGAATGATGCACAGGAGCCAGTGGTATTTTGAGCATGACTCCAGGTATGGAGCCAAAAACACCATTCAAATTTAAATTATACTAAACCTAACTTACATTCCCTGATGAAGCAGAGTTCTGGACAAGTGGAAGAGCTGGTTTTAGGAAGAAGGAAAGGAGGCAGGTGGCAGCTCCACTGTGCAGGGATGCAAAGCAGGGCAGGCGTTCAGCGCTACAAAGTGGGGCAGTCACAGTGCTCCTGCTGAGCGGTAAGCCCCGCTGGAGATCTGATTAGTAGACCTCATTTGTGTAGATTTAGGCACAATGGCCACATGACTTTCTCCAGTAACCTTGAGCTATCCAGAATCAGAGAAGACAGGGGGGACTGGCACATGAGCCACATTTGGGATCCGTCAAGGGCAAGGGGAAGAGCATCAAAGAGATGAGGGACCTGGGAGGCTGGGATGAGAAGTGTCCAGAGGTAGACAAATGCACTGGGTGAAGGCAGAGGAACCCAAGATGATGTCTTGCTAATACTTCAGGTACAAACTCCTGTCTGCCCCCCAGTGGAAAGTCCTCCAGAATCGTGTTCCCAA